GACACTAATCTAAGTACTTCACCTTAATGCAACAGTTCTGTGATGTTTCTGTATGGTCACTTTATATATGGGGAAAGTGAGGCAATGGAATTATTTCACCAAGTAATTTGAAGTCAGTGGCAAAGCTAGGATTGGAACTCAGGCACTCTAACTCTAAAATCCATGCCATGGTGCCACACTGTACTGCCTCTGGAGATAATAGGATCAAGGTGTAAAAACTTCTGGTCTGGAGCCAGGCACCCAGTTGGTGAGACTATTCCAAGGTTTAGAAGAAGAGAGTTTAATAGCTCTGGCCACCCACACAAAGAGAAGCACCAATTTGTGGAGAGTGCTGTGATTTTTTGATCTTATACCAAAACTTTCTTATGTTTTTGCCTTTGAACTTTGAGGACCTGCTGGCTGAGCTTTCCTAATTGCGGGGGATTCCTTTAGAGAAAGCGTCTGTTAGCACACACCACATACCTTCTCGGCACCTGCCAGGACTCCTAGGGCTGCAGGTGGGCGGGGATGAGAGGCCTGTGCAGCACAGCACAGGTGAACACTCAACCCCCCTTGCCGCCTGTGGCCTCCAGCCCAGCTCCCACCACGGCTGGAGCTTCAGTCTTTCCTGTTGACGGTAATTAGAACCTTTCAGCCTCAATTTCTTACATGAAAAATCCCAATTCACTTGGATTGTCTCCTTGATCCAGTTCACCTGGAGCTATTTAGTTTCTGCAGCTTGTTTGGAGGGGAAAACAAGCTCCTAAGCCTTCACACATTAGGGTTGATAAGATCAAGGTGCTCAGAGTGGTGGGGGTAAGCTGCCTGGATTTGAATTCCAGTTACACTTCACAAGCGTGCACAATCTGAGTTTGTGTGTCTGTGAAGTGGGAATAAAAACAGTGAAGATTCAATGGGGTAACACACATAAAGCCTGAGGAGCACATACAATGGCTCAGACACTATTCTAAGTACTTCACCTTAATGCAACAGTTCTGTGATGTTTCTGTAAGGTCACTTTATTATGGGAAAGCAAGGCAATGGAATTAATTCATCAAGTAATTTGAAGTCAGTGGCAAAACTAGGATTGGAACTCAGGCACTCTTAACTCTAAAATCCATGCCACTGTGGTGTGCATGCACAAGCCCCTGGGTTCAATCCCCAGTAACAAAGTTAGCGGGTAGTATTTTCATTATTAAGCCCCTCTAGCTATCAGCCCCCTTCCTTTCTTACCAACTTGGATCTTGCTCTTTCTGGAAAGATAGTCCCCTTCTTGTCCCCCACACTCTAGGCCTTCCCCTAACCAGGTTATTTCATCCTCTAAGCTTCCAAGTCCTTATCTGTGAAATGGGACTTGGGATAATGAGGTCTGCTTCATAAGGTTGCCACAAAGGTTAAGTGCACTCATTCAAGTGCTGAGCACTGTGCTCAAAGACTGTTCACTCTCACTACTGTTGTTCCTGCAGCACAAAAGGCTGCCAGGAAGGGCCTTTGAAATCTTAGAGCACTAAGAGCCAAAGAGCCCATCATACACAGCAGCATTTGAAGTTAACACATGCCTGAGTGGGAGCCTCCGATCTGGGATACTGCTGGCTTGCTCCTGGCTGAAATTCTGCACCTGGAATGCAGGAGACGCATGGGGATGCTAGGTGACTGGGTAGAGAAGAAGAGCGTTCAGAAATGAGTTTGTTCAGGCAGACTGGCAGATAATTTTCAAGGCAAAACACAGGTAGGTGTTTGGGCATCCCCCCCCCCCCCGGCAAGAAATACCTCCCTGCTCTCCTTTCCTCTACTGTCTTTACCCTCGGGATTTAAAAACAAAATAACTCCCATTATTTGGTGGTACTAAATTCTACACATTCTGCTAAGTACTTTGTAGACAGTTTACTTCATTTCAGTCTTGAAAAGCAGGTATTATCATTCCCATTTTACAGATGAGAAGCTGAGATGGAGAGAGATTAAGCAGTTTGCCCAAGGTTACATACCTGGTAAATTGTAGAGCCAAGATTTGGAGCCTCACCTACGGGGCAGAAAGGGGACTGCACCTATATGCTCATTAGTGTTTCAGTTTTAGAATTAGTCTCACTACAGTCCCCACAGATGCAGAAGTGGCTCCTGTTCACCACCAGAATGGCTTTTCCTTGGAGTCATCTGGTCTTGACATTATCTGGCCACTTCTTAAATAGAATCAGAACTGCGCTTGCTCGAGTGCCCCGCTCTCCTCACTCACTCTCTCTTAAAAGTTGTTTGCTTACTTGCATTTTCATGAATCTCTTTATATGACCACTATCCTCACTTAATAATTGAGAGAGTCAAGTTCCAGAAGTGTTGGGCAGGGTGTCCTCTGTTTTCAGATTTTCAAGAGCTCTGTGTTGCTTTAGCGTTAGGGTTAGAATCTGGAGTATCCCCCAAAGACTCACGTGTTGAAAGCGTGGTCCCCAATGCAGCAATGTTTAGAGGTGAGGCTTTGGAGAAGTGATTGGTTCATGAAGTCTCTGACCTCATCAGTGAATTAATCCCTTGATGAATTTATAATCTGAATTGACTTTTGGAATATTGAGGAATCTACAGGAGGTAGAGTCTAGTGGAAGGAGTGGGCCCTTGGGACTATATCTTGTCTTTGGCCCCTCCCTCTGCCTCTGCTTTGTGGCTGCCATGGACTGAGCAGTTTTCCTGTCACACCGTGCTATAGAGTCAGCTTACCATGGGCTGAAACCTCTGAAATCAAGAGCCAAAATAAATCTTTTATCCTCTAAGTTGATTTTCTCAGGTATTTGTCACAGTGACAAAAATCTGACAAGCACAATTAGATATGAAATGATTTTTATAAATTATTTTGCCTTTTGGAAGTGAATATTTGAAGTGTATTAATTAGAAAACATTAAGAACCAGCCAGACACAGTGGGGCACACCTGTAATCCAGCAACTTGGGAGGCTGAGGCAAGAGGATAAAAAGTTTGAGGGCAATCTCAGTATTTTAGCAAGATCCTGTCTCAGAAAAATAAAAAATAAAAAGAGCTGGAGGTGTAACTCAGTAGTAAAGCACCATTGGGTACCATCCCCAGCACCCAAATAGACACTAGTATTGCTATATGTATAAACATGACTGTAAGACCAATGTGATTCTGCAACCTGTACACTCAGAATAATGAGAAATTATACCCCATTTGATTCAAATGTATGATATGTCAAGATCATTGTACTGTCATGTGTAACTAATTAAAACAAATTTTAAAAAAGGGAAAAAAAATTAAAACTAGAGAAAAAAAAATCGAGAACCTAAAGAGGGCCTAGACTCTAAAAACTAGGAGGCTGAGATTGATTCCAAGCACTTTTTTATATTAGATAGAGGGATTACTTTCTCTCTCTTTCTCTCACTCATTCATGCATCTTCTCATTTTCTTTCACCCTGTTTATCATCCCAAGATTATTTTCCAAGTAATTTGGGGGATAAACGTTAATTCCTGTGAAACACTTTGACCCTGCTTTCAAAAATGGTCTCAAATATATTTGCCAAAGTTTATCCTACAAAATCACTTGGGAGTCGAAGATTTAACTTTCTTTTATTTACTCCCTGACAGAAAGCACTTCCCTTTCCATACAAAGTCCTGGTGAGAATAAAGGGAAATTCATTAGGTTCAATGACTTTTCTCCCTTCCCTCACCTCTCCTGTTCCTCACCCCAAATCCTTGAAACTATGGCTATTACTCCCTCCCTGAAGAACAAGACCTCCTGCTAGGCTGTGCCCGAGGTCAGGCGAACAAGGAGAGGAAAGTGCCCCCTCCACTGTGGCCAGCTGAAGGCCACAAAAGCCATCTTGATCCTTTGACCTATATTGATGCTGAGTCTGTTCCTTTGGTGTCCCTGACTTTGGCAGTGTGGTTAGTTTAACTCTCTGCCTTGAATTGAGCTTTGATGAAAAGTAGTAGGAACCCAGGCCTCTCCCTGGAGATTTGGGGTTTTTGTCTTGGAAAAGCATCAACCAAACTAGCAGGGGCAGGAGATCTGGATTCCTGTGGCTTGGGCTAACTTAGGTCCAAAGAAACCAAGTGCCTGTGATCATCGTCTTCATTCCCCAAATGTAGCCATGCCCTTTGGATTCCCTTCTCACTCATCCTCCCCAAGCGAGGATGACTTCAGGGTGGATTGCTCTTCTTTGACCATTAGCATGTCCTTCCATATTTGAAAGGCTTTGGTACATGAGAATACTTGCAGATTGCTGTTGCCTAGCTGACCCAAAATCTTTTGGCTTTAGTACATGCAATACCAGAACAACTATAAAGCACCAGCCTATTTTCTCTCCCTTGAGATCCTATAAACCTCTCTGAAATTTGCCTCTTTGGCAAATCTGGACCACAGAGCCTCCTGGCTCCTCTCTCCCCAGCACTGCTTCTGTATATCAGGAATCTTTTGGTTGTCCTGATTGTATTTCTTGGACCTTTGTCTTGGCTTCCTATAATAGTATGACCAGATTTGTGTGCAGAAATCCAAAAGAAGCCAGCCTCCTGTGATCCCAGATGACAGAGTAATAAGGTCTGTGGGTTTCTGTGTGATACTCTTCTCCATATATGCAAGACTGTTTGCCTCGGTCATGCCTCCAGATATTTTGTGGGTGATCTTTGGGCATGCAGTGGTGAATATTACCGTGCCAGAGAATTTCAACAGATTTAACCAATGACGAATGACTCATTCATCCAAATCTTTATACACAAGGAAAACCAAACTAGGAAGGCTGAAGAAGTTCCCTATCTTGTTTCCTCTCTTCACCTGACCATTCCTCAAATCAGTAAAAGCTCCTTTGGTCAAAGTGGTTGTAACTGGGTGCCTCCACTCAGGACAAGCTTTGTAGAAATACTAATCTTAAAGTCTCACCCCAGAGGTTAATGGCTACACACTGTAACACTGACTCCCCTTAAAAGAACAGCTCTACCAAGACTGGATCTGTAACCAGGAAATGACCAAGAGAAGGCAGCGACTTGAAATACAGGGACCTAATATACTTCTCTCTATTTCCATTCCAGATTTGCTGACGATGAAAGAATATCACTGTCTGCTGCAGTTACTGTGCCCGGATTTCCCACTGGAGCTCACTCAGAAAGCAGCCAGGTATGTCTCAGGGGCTCTTGCAGCCCGCTGAGCCTTCCAGACGAGGGCTTTTTAGAGAAACCTGAACCATGTATGAGTGAAAAAAGTCATTAGGGGAAAAATTGGCATTTGGAGAGTGGTCTATTTGGGGTTTGCCCCAAAACAATACTTTCTGCGTTTCTTAAGGAAAGCCAAATGATCCTTTGTGGTTTCTGTGGGGAGCCTCAGGGTCTGAAGATACAGTTGGAGGATGGTGAAATGAAGAAGAAAAAAAAATCCAAACACAAAACACATGTGCGCACGCGTGCACACACACACACACATACACACACAAGAGGATATTCTGAGAAAAGAGGGGGAAAGAGTTGGCAGTGACTCATGATGAAGAATGTTGGGGACTGGAAAGGCATGAAGGTGATAAAACTCCAATTGAGGGAAGGACATATTGAGGGAAGAGTATTATGTATGCCAGAAGAAGGCTTTCAAGATTAGTCCAAAAGCAGGACTTGGCAGTCATAGTTAAGAGCCCTCATTTCTATGTTCAGTTTTACTATCATTAACATGTTTTAACTAAATGAAGTAGTTGGACCATGCCTCAGTTAATGTGTACATATTTAACATTAACTAGGGATGCAAATGGAAATATAGTTTTAAAAAAATAAATGAGATCTTGTTTCTGAAAGATGCCCAGCTTCCCTAAATCATATTGAAGGCATTTACCTCATTGTTCCATTTAAATTTGTTTACCTAACTATCTCACTTAATCCTTATAAAAACTGTTACATTGTACTTTACTGAAGAGGAAAATAAGGCTCAAACAGATAAATAACATTGACTAGATTTATTGAAAGCTTGTAAGCAGCAGACGCATGAGTTGGACCCAAGTCTGCCTGAATCCAGAGGCTTTGCTTAGTCCCCACACTCCTGCCTCTGTGTCGTGGCATCATTTCTGCTTTGTCTGCGCCTCTTGAAACCAAAGGTGCATCAGTTGTACTGCACCAAGAATCACCTCACTCCTTCCGAATTGAGCCAGCCAACCCCTCTGCTGACTTGGATGATGGGAAGTCCATTGCTACCAGCAGGAGACACCAGCCTCCCACTGGGGCAGGATGTCCACCGTTCACATGAACTAATTTTGCTGGTCATGTGAGAAACCTGTTTAGTGGTTACACATCCAAAATTTTATAGGTTTTTTTTTTGTTCCCTCTTTATTGTTCAGTGCATACTTATCCCAGTGGCAGCTAGCCACGGGTAAAAGTTCTAGATCATGTTTTATCATTTTTATTTACCTATATCCAAAGGAAAGGAGATTTGGATGTTTTTTTCTTAGCTGAAGAGGAGGAAAGAAGGAAGGAAGGAGGGAGGGAGGGAGAGAAGGAAGGAAGGAAGGAAGGAAAGAAGAAAAGAGAGGGAGGGAGGGATTATCTCTTCTAATTTAAAAGCAAGTGGAGTTAGCTTCAGGTTTCCATGATGCTCCCTTTGGGTTCAGATCATGTAAAGAAAGATTCAGAATGGGGGCGGGGGTGAATTCAGCATTCTTAAAGACTGGACTGATGGATAAAAGCATGAGCAAGGTGTGGCGGCACATTTCTATAGTCCAGTAACTCAGGAGAGGCTGAGGCTGGAGGATGGTGAATTCAAGGCCAGTATGGGCAACTTCGTAAGACCCTGTCTCAATTTATCATTCAATTAAAAAAAAAAAAAAGCACAACTCTATGTAGAGAATTTCTAAATAAAGAAAAGAACCACACATGTGCATGTGTGTGCTCCAGGAGAGCAGACAGGATCTAAACCAGTACTGCTCACTGCTGAGATCCTGTCACTTAGCATAGTACCTCAATGCATGCTAGAAGGTGTCTGCTGAATAAGTGAATGTGTGAAAAATGTGTGAATGAATATTCTTGTCTGTTTTTTTTTTTTTTCCAGTGCTGAGGATTGAACCCAGGGCCTCACACACATGCTAGGCAAGTGGTCTACTGCTTACACACACACCCACCCTTGTCTGAAATTTTACATGGTTCTAAGTATCTTTAAGAATAAGAGCCAGCAACTGTATTTTATATTCAGTTATTCACTTGCTTATTTATCAAATATTTCTTTTTTTAACAATCTCTTTTTTGGGGGGATACTATTTACATACCATCCACTTGAAGTATAAAATTCAGTGACTTTTAGTTTGTTTTTAGAGTTGTACATCCATTAACACAATCAATTTTAGAATATTTTTATTACTATAAAAAGAAATCCTAGCCAGGTACAAGGTACACAACTATAATACTCCAGTTACTCAGGAGACTCTGAGACAAAAGGATGGCAAGTCTGAGGCCAGCTTGGAAAACTTACCAAGATCCTGTCTCAAAACAAAACAAAAAAAAAAAGCTGGGGCTGTAGTTCAGGCTGTGATGCCCTGTGTTCACCCCTCAATCCTGCAAAGGAAGGGAGGGAGAGAAGGAGGGATGGGGAAAAGAAGAGAGGAGAAAAGAAGGCAATGTAACCCTTAGCCATTTTTCTCCAACCCCCTGTCCTCCCCAGCGATAGGCAACCACTAATGTACTTTCTCTCTCTATAGATTCACCTATTCTGGGCATTTGAAGTAAATAGGATTATAGTATGTGGTCCTTTGCTAGTGGCTTCTTTCACTTGGCATAAAGTTTTCAAAACTCATACATATTGTAGCATGCGTCAGTACTTCATTTCATCAAATATTTCTGGAGTGCCAATTTTGTGCAAGGAACTACTGTGTACACTGTGAATACAGTCACCAGTAAGACATCATTCCTGCCATTTGTGGACCAACATTTAATTTAGAAGGGAATCACTTGGGTACCAATCACTGGCTACCACCTCTTTTGATACATCACCTTGGTTTCTGTCACTTCAGAATATCCACTCTTTCTCTTATTGGAAAGGTAAAAGTGAACTTATGAGAGTGAGTCTTCTATTTGATTCTTAACCCCACCAGCTTGGGCTACGCATTTGCCGCACACATCTCTCCAAACCATCTGACATAGGAAAGTAGTGCAAGACTAGGGTATAAATGATAGAGTCTTCTAAAAACCCACAAATTCTTAATAAGTTTGAGTGTTACTTGGCATCCTCATTGATACAAAGGGATTTCTAGCATGGTGCTCCTTTATTGTGGTGGGAAGCTTATCTGCTGACTTAAAACAACAACAAAAAAAACACTTTTGGGTTTGAAGAGGAAGCATTATAGCCAGCTCTGTCAATAGTAGTGTGACGGGATTATGGGAATGCAAGTAGAAATGGCAGAAGGGCCTCAGAAAATCTGCAGGGGACTGGCTGCAAACTTAGAGATGAATTGGGAATCAGGGATCTTTGTTTTCTCCCTGGGTGTGAATATCAGGATTATCTGTTCACCCCGACCCTCCTCAATGTCTCTCTTTCCCTACTCCACTCTGATATCCCAGAAAATTCCATCTGATTGTGTAAGTTTTTCTCATTGTGTCCCAAAGGTCAAGATCCGACTTCCCCACACACATGCCCAGGCATCTAACCAGAATCACAAATTGGGGTGGTTAGTCCTGCAAAGCAGTTATTGTTGCTAGAAGAGGAAGTGCCCTCACCCATCCCACTGCCGGGCTTATTTAATCAGAGCCCTGAGGTCTGGGGACAGACTTCAGAAGGAGGCTCCAGTCTGATGATGTGTACGTAAAAGAATGTAATCCACAGGCAGCTGTACACCAGAGCCTGTGCCGGGCATGGTGTCTCCACATGCGCCTGCTTTATGGGCTGGCTATAAGCATCATGGTCAGGCCCAGGGCAGCAGGTGTGAGCTGGAAATATAGAAGGAACAAACAGACTCCACAACGGCAGCCCCAGCCACAGATCCCCTTCACCTCATGTATTCCTGCAACAGTGGGACAGTTAAATAATTGTATCCCCAGATGATCACCACTGCATCTTCATCTCTCCAAGCTGGGAAGCTTTCCTGATGGTTAAGAAAAAGTAATTTAGTTGGGCCTCAGTGTCTTCATTTGTAAAATGAGAATAATAATAGTTGTAATAATTGAAGGAAAATTATGTAATATGCTTAAAAGGGGTCCCTGGCACAAAATAAACTTACAATTAAATGTTAGAAGTAGTAGTATTAACCATGACCTATAGGAACACAGGCACCATGATGTTAGAAAGACCTAGTTGTACATTCCACCTGCCCCATCATTAGATGACCTTGAGGATATCTCTTAACTTCTCTGAGTACTGTTTCCATATTTGTAAAATGAGTATAATAGTAATAAAAACAACTATAGGGTATTGGTGAGATTTCAACAACAGAAATATGTCAATTGGTTAGCACATTGCAGACAGTCAATAAATAATAACCATTTGCTATCATAATAATGTTGGTACTATTGTTATTACCAAATTTTTAAAAATAATATTCCTGGGCTCCCAAAGGCAGTGCCTTCTGGACTTTTTCACTTCACAACACTCAGAAAATAAAATATAACAAAAACATTGGGTAAAAACAAGACTGGCTGTGGTTGGCCTGCAGGTTCTGGCCTTCTCCCCAGATGGGCTAAGGGGACCATCACACATACAAATTATTTGAGATCTAAGTGTCACAGAGTTGGGACATCTTCAAGGATAGAGATTGAAAGCAGTGGTTCTCAAACTGGAGCAGCATCAGAATCACCTGCAGAGCCTGCTAAACCACATATGGCAGCCCATCCCCGGAGCTGAGAGGCCTGGGGTGGGGCTCAAGAACTCATACTTCTAAAAAATTCCCAGATGATGCTGATGGTCTGGAAACCACACTTTGAGAACCACTGATTTAAAGTGTTGCCTGCCAGTCTCACTCTGGCATTTTAGAATTGGCTGGATTAAAATGAGTTACATTCCCTTCTGTTTTGTCATCTGAAACACGATTTAACTTTTCCCTCACCAAAGGCCAGCAGCCATGGTGAGTACTACATATTTAGTAGGAAAAGCTCTGTTAATCATGATTATGTTATAAATACATGTCTTGAAGCGAGTCTCATAACCATCTAGAGACTCTA